CCTGTTTATCAAGACTCTCAGTTTCTGACGTAGTTGTAGGCTTCACAATGGTTCTAAGCAGAGAACTTTCATCAAAGACAACGTTCCTGCTCATAATAACCCTCTTTTCTGCTGGAGACCAGATTCTGAAACCTTTCACTCCATCTCCGTAGCCCACAAATACTCCTTTTTTAGCTCTTTGTTCTAACTTACCTTCATTGACGTGATAGTAAGCCGTACAACCAAAAGCTTTCAGATTTGAATAATCAGCAGCTTTTCCTGACCATATCTCCATAGGTGTCTTGCACTGTATGCCTGTATGTGGTCCGCGGTTAACCAAGTAGCAAGCTGTACCAACCGCTTCTGCCCAGAATCTTCTATCTAGCCCAGCATTAGAGAGCATGCACTTTGCTCTCTCCAGAAGTGTTTGATTCATCCGCCCAGCTACACCGTTCTGCTATGGTGTATTTCTAACTGTACGATGTCGAGCAATCCCTTCACTCTTACAGAATTGATCAAATTCAGACCAGCAGAATTCCAGCCCATTATCAGTTCGCAACCTCTTGATCTTCTTCCTTGTTTGATTTTCCATCAAAATTTTCCACTCCTTGAACTTCTGGAAAGCTTCACTTTTATGCTTCATCATGTACGCCCAAGTCATTCTTGAGTAGTCATCAATAATGGACACAAAAAACCTGCAGCCTCCCAAATACTCAACACGGCATGGACCCCAGCAATCAGAATGGATATAATCAAGTGTGCCTTTTGTTCTGTGAATGGACTTTGGAAACTTGTTGCGATGTAGTTTTCCAAAGACACAATGTTCACAAAACTCTAGGCTCTTAACCTTATGACCAGCAAGAAGATCCTCCTTTGACAGAATTTGCATCCCTCTTTCACCCATATGACCAAGTCTCATGTGCCATAACTTAGTCATATCCTTCTGGTGAACTTCTAACGATGCAGCGTGAGCTGAACCTGTAACCGTGGAACCTTGTAGAAAATATAAAGTACCACGCATGACACCTTTCAGAATCAGATTTGAACCCTTCCAGACCCGCAAGACTCCATCTTTTCCTGACCAGCTGAATCCCTTGTTGTCCAAAAGACTGAGAGATATCAGATTTTTCGTCATCAATGGAACGTGTCTGACCTTGTTCAATGTGCAGAAGCTACCATCATGTGTCCTTATCTTGATCGAGCCTGTCCCAACCACCTTGTAGACAGAACTGTTGGCCATCGAGATGCTGCCTCCGTCTACCTGGTCATAAGTCGTGAACCACTCTCTCCTAGGACAGATGTGATAGGATGCCCCAGAATCGAGAACCCACACATCTGAATGATGAGTGTGCTCATCCGCAACTAGGGCAATGTCTTCTTCAGAATTGGTGTCTTCTTCAGCAACAGCAGCAGAAACTGATTATTTTTCCGATTGCTTCTTCTTCTTCGGACAATTAAATTTCCAATGTCCCTTCTCCTTGCAGTAATTACAAACATCATCCGGCTTTGCACCCTTAGACATCGGCTTATTTTTCTTTCCGCCGTTTTTCCTTCTTTTTCCGCTACTGGTGAACAGACCAGAAGGCTGTATGTCCGTACTTGTGCCGTTAGCCTTATGCCGTAATTCCCTGCTATGAAGGACCGATCTGACTTCTTCCAGCGACACAGTATCTTTCCCAACAATGAACGATTGAACAAAATTCTCAAACGACATTGGGAGAGATACTAACAGAATCAGGGCAGCATCTTCATCCTCGATCTTCACATCAATATTACGCAATTCTAATAACAAAGTATTCAATTGCTTTAAATGTTCCCTGAGTTGTGTACCTTCAGCCATTCGTAAACCGAATAGACGTTGTTTCATAAGCAGCTTGTTGGTTAGAGATTTTTTCATGTACAAACTCTCTAGCTTCAACCACAGACCAGCAACAGTCTCTTCATCTGAGACCTCCGTGATGACATCATCCGCGAGACACAACATGATCGTCGAGTGCGCCTTTTCCTCCAGAATCGCAATCTCAGGAGTAACGACGGCGTTCTTGTCTTTCGACAACGGCGCCCAGAAGCCTTGTTGTTTCAACAAAGTCCGCATCTTGATCTGCCATAAACTGAAACTGTTCCTCCCTGTGAATTTGTCGATTTTCACGTTCAAAACAGACATCTTGAAATTCTCCAAGAACACCGATTAACCGAGAGGCTCTGATACCAATTTGTTGTGCGGAATTTGATATAATACGAGAAAATATAAACACAAAAAACAAGACAACAGATTTACGTGGTTCACCAATAAATTGGCTACGTCCACGGGAAGAGGGGGAGCAGTTTTATTATGGAGAGGCAAGAACAGAATTACAGAATAGGGTTTGCCATAGCGTCTATATATAGTGCTAAACTACGCCCTAACAGGCTTGGGCGCAACATACAGAATTGACAGATAATTAAGGGTCCAATTCAAGGCATTCAACAAAAGGCTTCAGGGAAAATAATTTTCTAAAATTTTCTTGGATAAAATTGCTAAGTCAGTAGCAATTTTAATTTGTTAACGACATTAAAATAACACTATGTCAATTTTTTTAATATACCCTTTTAAATTTTTTTCAATTTTTTAGCCTTCAAACCCCTTATAATTTAGCTAGGTAGCTAGAAGTTCATATATGAGTTCGACGAATTATAATAGTATGTTTGCGTTGAAAAATTCGTATAAAAACTAAATTTAAAATTAAGTAAATACTTGTTCTTGGTTCTAGAATTCAGAGTGCAAATGCTTATATGCATGTGATCCTTGTGTATGGTATAGTGTTAGTGCTAAATGACTTTGACTTATATATACATATTTTAGTTGAAAACAAAATTAAAGTTTATCCTCTAATGAAATATAAAACAATATATTTAGATTAGAATTGAATGTTTACGTCTAAAGTTTGCAACGCGTTACCCATAAACAAGATAATTATGTTTTCTTTCTAAAAGGACCCCAAATAGAGTAAAACTAAAATAAATTAGTATTTCTTTTTTGCGAGGAAAAAAACAAAAAAGATAGAAGAATATAATGTATTTTTAGTAAACAAATTAAAAAGTGGCAAGCCATTCCTTCCCTCGTGTTCTTTGCTTCATCCACTTCCAATATTATTCCACGTATATCATTTATGTATGTCAGCTATTCTAGACACTATTATAATTTTTTTATATACATGCTTTTTATTTTCATTCTGTCACTTGATATCTGATATTTCATATTAAAATTTATATATCGTAATACTAATAAATAGGGTGATACTTGTAATGTTTTCTTTTTTTAAAATTCTAAATATATAAATACATGCTTTTTATTCTCATTCCGCCACTTGATATTTGATATTTCATATTAAAATTTTTATACTGTAATACTAATAAATAGGGTGATACTTGTAATGTTTTCTTTTTTTAAAATTCTAAATATATAAATTTTTAATTTTTAATTAAAAATAAAAAAATCTCAATTATCGTACCATCTGAGTTAATAATTTATATTATGTATACTTTGTTGGTCATATACATAAAATATTTACTATTGTGTGTGTGTGAATAGAGTTCTAATTATATTGGTCAACCTAAGATAAGAGAGAGAGAAAGTGATTATAAAGAGACAACAATTTATATTGGTGTCCTTTGCTCAATCTAGATTGGTGTCCCTTCAATTAATTTAAAATTAATTAATTAATCAGCTTTTCAACACACACCTTTCCAAAAAGAAATCTGATTCTTTTTATTTTTTCTTTCTATAAATCTCTAAAACTTCCTTATATATTACAACCACCTTGTAAATGTTTAATTCTCATTTCACTCAAATCCTCCCATTAAAAAAAAAATGATGTGCAACACAAGGCTTAGTTTGAGCTTAGGATTATCTACTCCTCCTCCTCATCAACATAACAACAAGGGGAAATTATCATCTAATGATGATGATAATCAAGAATTAACACTTTGTTTATCAACATCATCAGAGTTCACAAATAATTATGACAACAATAATAGGATTAATCCTCAATTATTAGGAGGAGTTAATTCATCAGTTTCTTCATTTTCTAACACAAGTAGTGTTAAAAGGGAAAGAGATCATGCTAGTAGTTTTGATGAAGAAGTAGAAAATTTGGAGACTAAAAAAGTTTTAATTATTTCTCCAAAGGGATTAGTTGATCATAATGATGATGATGATTATGGTACCAGGAAGAAACTTAGACTTACTAAGGAGCAATCTGATGTTTTAGAAGATAGCTTCAAAGAGCATACTACTCTTAATTCTGTAATTCATCAGTAACCTTACCTTTTTTTTTATCTGCTGTTCAGTATTTATATTAGTTCAATTATCGTAAATGGTTCATGTTGATTTGACGTTTTAAATATTGAATTTTTCAGAAGCAAAAGAGAGATTTAGCAAGACGATTAAGCTTACGTCCTCGACAAGTGGAAGTATGGTTTCAAAATCGAAGAGCCAGGTAATATACGTAGAATTTTGTACAAAAAATATTTGCCTTCTCTCGATATAAGATATAATATTAAAAAAAATAATTAATTAATTAATTTATATTTTTTAAAAATATTAAATAATTTGAGATAGTATTTTTAAGAATAAATTGAGTGGGAGAGGATATTGTTTTTCTAAAACTGGGGTCTAGTACATGAGTTTTAGATCTGGAATTATAGAGGCTGGTTTTATGATTTGTTTTCTTCATTTTACAATTAATGATTTTTTCATTATTATTAAATATTATTTTCAAGTTTTATTTTCTCATTGTATGTATACATATATACATTGTTTTATCACCAAACAGAAAATGAAAATACTCTCTTTGTCCCAGGGCTAACTTGAAGATCAACTCAATATTTTTAGAAATAAATATTTAAATTTAGATCAATATAATAAAAGATTATGTTTTTATTCAAACTTTTTACCTTTTCTTGTTATTCTGTTTTTTTCGGTTGAAAATAGCACTCCAATATATTTCTCCATGAAAAACATTTGTATGGTACTATTTGCGCATCTGAATATAAGAATCTTTTCAAACTTTATCTTTATTTAATTCAATATATTTATTAATTATTATTATTATTTTCAATGATAACAGGACAAAGCTGAAACAAACAGAAGTGGATTGTGAAATTCTTCGAAAATGTTACGAAGACTTAAAAGACGAAAACAGAAGGCTAAATAAGGAAATACAAGACTTGAAATCTTTGAAAAAATCACAACCCTTTCGTGTTCAATTATCGGCTGCGACACTTAGTATGTGCCCGTCGTGCGAGAGGACTTACGGCGGCGCCGCCACCGACAATTCAACCAAAATTTCTTTTTCCATCGGAGATCAAAAGCCTCACTTTTATGGTATTCCTTCACAAATCCATTAAAAGGTTCTATAATTAACCACTAATTAGTGGAGTGGATTTATTAACTAGTTAATTGTAATGTAAAGTGATCGAGAAATATACATAATTTTCTTCCAACGAATTCTGGATATAGCAGAAGCTTTAGTGTAATGAATTACTATTTTTTTAATTGTAATGTACGTCACGTTTCTCTATTTAGTAATTTTGTAGATATATGTATATTCTTTAAATGTAGTATATGTGAAAAAAGAAGTTCTATTCCTAAAACTTTTAGACTCTATTTGATCTACTGGTTTAATCTTGACTTTTTTGTTGTACAAATTTTACTAGCTAAAATGATTAGATTAGATGGCTATTATCATAGTGTTTTGAATGGTACTTTTTAGAAAGGGGTTATTTGTTACTCCTATTTTACTCTTTATACTTGGTAGAATAGTACAAGCACAAAGCAACAGAGTTTTTTTTTTTTTTTGATTTCTCAACAGCTTATGTTTTCTGATGAAGAGAACTAAGATGCCTTACTTTAATTAAAATTAGGACTAACTTTTAATCGGTCAAGGTAACTTTGACATATGCTTGTGGATTTTTTTTGATTTTAAAAGAAACATCTAGAGCAAAGATTTTATTTTGGATCTTCAAATAACTCGTGGCTTTTATCACGTCCTTTGCCGTGTAATGGCCAGTAGGTAAATCATTTACTGTATAATAGTTCATAAATTATATAATAAAAAAGATAAATCGGACTAAATAAATCATGATAAATTTAACTCAAAGGCATTGAAAAATGATCGATTTTTGATAATCTAAATGAAAGATCATCCTCTTAAACTAATTGTGTTATCCCGAATGACGACTAAGGAAAAAGTTATTCTCATCCTATTTAACTTTTAGTACTCCTAGTTCCTTAGTGTTTGTAAATGACGTAGTATGGTTGAATAACAATTGTGAATACCACGTAATAAAAATACTGTACACTTCATTAATTACTGCATTTATTGAAAATGGAACTTTAAAACAGGTTAAATATTTCTTTGTCCCAAATTTTATATATGGCATGATCTCTTGATGTTTTCTCAAGTAAATTTTGTAATAAATAATGAATATATTTTTAAAATTAATTAACTGGACAAAATATATATATATGTATGCATAAAATTTTCTAAAATAATAAATATATAAATCTAACTATCTATAAAAAGGGAGGATATATAAAACGGGACGGAGGGAGTATGATTTTCTATTGACAATGAATAGGATTGATCCACAAATGAAAAAGTTCTTAGGACGTCAAGCTCATTACTTTGTTTATGACTTCCAGACACATAAACTATTAAGACGATTTGATATTAACCTAAATAATCTTTTAGGAAGTTTAATACAATTTGAGTTTTGCCTCTTTGAGATCCTGCTGAAAGTGATTGTTATTTGTTAATACACTAGTGATAATACTTGAAGACAAACAAATACTTATGTGAAAAACTCTAATAACTTGTTCTAGGGACATTTATATAGCTGAAAAAAAGATAAATATATCTCCGAACTATCAATAAACATCACCAATATTGATTGTGGTAGCTGGTGGATAGTTCAAATTCCCCCATCTTTCATCCAGAGATTTTAGATTGAGTATGGTAATAAAATTTTCTTTATTAGGAGTGACACCCTTATAAATAAGTCATGCAATGCGTGAGTTTAAATTTAATTAATTTTCGATAATAAAAGATAACGACGTCGGATGAAATTTTTAAAAAAATCAATATAATCATTAACTTCTTGATCGTAATCACCAGTCTCTTATCGTCATCCTCCACGTCCATTAATTAGTTGTCCTTATACGTCAATTTTGGCACGCTCTGAAAGCTTAACCTAATAAATTTTTAATTAGCATCTTCCTTATCAGTACTAATCAAACTTTAATTATTCATGATTAATTAGAGAGTACTTTTTAGACTTGTTTATGACAAACTTCATTTCTTATTTTGTGTATCCAAACTTAGATTGGTTATACTGAGAATACAATTTCTCTTAAATATAATACAAAGTGTACGTGTCATATTTTTGGAGAAAAGGCCATGCCTGCCTACCTTCTAACACTTTTAATAAACTCAAGAGGACAATATTTTTAATGTCAATTATATGTCAAAAAAATTAAGAATGAACAAGTTGATGAAAATCAGCCCATTGAGTCATTATAATTTAATCATTATCAGATCATTTGCAATTTTATACTCCTACCGTCCACTTTAGTTGTCATGGTTACTAAGAGAGCTAAACTATAAGAAATTTGTTTAATATTGTAAAATATATTTTTTAATTATATTAAATAAGAGAGCTAAACTATAAGAAATTTGTTTAATATTGTAAAATATATTTTTTAATTATATTAAGATGTAAAAAGTTGTAATTTATTATATTTTTTATATAGTTTTTGAATATTTAATTTTTTTATTTAAAATATCAAATTAATGTTATCTAAATTAACTTTTAAAAAATATGACATGACAAATAAAAATAAACGGAGAAAGTAATATCCTAATCGCAAACGCACCCCGGGGTCCATCATGGCAATGCCCCATTGATCCAGTCTAATATTTATGCTCAATTTACATTTGATAGGGTATATTATGATTTGTTCATTTTATTCTATTCAAATTCAATTCAGCTTATCGCTAATTTGATAATAATTTAGGAAGTCAGAATGAATCAAATCACATGAATTTAATGGTTTATAGGTTTATCGCTAATTTGACAATCTTTAACTATATTGAAGTAATTAATTAAAGCAAGCAGTAAATATTGATTAGTGAATATTAGAATATGTTTAACATAAAATGTCAATAATGTCATGAGTAATAAGATGGCTCTTGAATCTTGATTATTACTTATCTTCTAGAAAATGAAAATCTTCACCAGGTAATTATTGTTTATTTGACTAATTAAATAAACACAAATGGGCGGTTGTCTGTCAAATACCAACACTCTCCCCTAATATTATATTCATAATTTAATAAATCTTTACTAGATCAGATTGAATATTTGTGCGAATGAAAAAAAATTCTCTTACTGATGATTAAAGAAATGTTTAAAAATTCTTACACTTGTTCTCATTATTAATTAAAAATAAATACTTGTTCAAATAGAACAATAAAAGTCAAATCAATTTGTCACTTTTTAATCTTCTTTTCATCTCCTACACTTATTTTTTAAAATATTACAGACTTTTCAGTATTAGGAGTACTCAGATAAGCATTATTCCTCTTTTTATTCCAAATGGAAAAATACTAATTAATCTGTAAAGAAGTATTCATACATTCGAAACGTCTTTCATGTTTTTTTATCTATGATATCACGAACTAATTGGAAATGTGGATCGCAAATAAATTACAAGAGCAAATGGGCTATTCTGTTTTAGCCCACCCGCTAGGCCCATATCAATAAGTGGAGTACCAAGAAGACAAAAGATCCAAATATAACACTACCTTTCTCGTATGTGCAACACTTGACATCCTACTTACGTCTTTAAACAATTTATTTATGATTCTTGGCTATATTAAACCGATCTTATTACACTCAAGAGCGCCGGGGAATGGGAAATTGATAGAAAAATTAAATATAAGAGAATTGTCAAAGAAAGTTTCATATAGGAGAGAACTTGAATTGTTTACTTGTTCTATTAGTTACAAATAAATAAATGATCAAAGGTCTTCCATAGAGAAAAATTATAATTTGTATATAGGCCTTTTTTTATATAAGCCTTTCATGTGAGCAAAAGTTGTGTCAAGAGATACTTAAATGGCCTGACGACATGTTGTCATCCCACATGGCTCAAAATTTGGTGGCAAATGATATATTCTATAGATAGAATTTTGAGAAATAATTTTATTCTGTCGGAAAATTTAGCCAGTATATAATGTATATTATATACAATTACTGTGTATATATTATACAATAATTGTGGCTAAGTGTATATCGACGACTATTATGACTACTGATTATGAGTGTATATAAACTCTCGTCTTTTAATTATACGAGCAACTTTCACACATAGCAAATATAAAATTTATTATGCTATAGTAAAGTTTATATAATTGCGCTTCATTATCAAACATAAATATGTATTATTTCGCTATACATATACAAAGAAATCAATTGTATAATTCGCTATACATATACAAAAAGAAACAGTTGTATACAAATCAATTGTATAATTTATGTATGTATAAAACGAGAAAGAGAGAAAGACAAAAGAAAATTGGGCAGGGGAATAGTTATATTGTATAATTTATAAGTGTATAGGACGAAGATATATACAATTTATCTCGTTTTATACAAATAAAAACACAATTTATACATTTTGTTTCTGTTTGTATAAGCGACAGAGGCGAGGGTGGCGAGTGAGATATGAGTGAGTGGCCAGCCAGATCTGGGTGAGGGAGAGAGGGGAGCAAAAATACATGTATATGTATAATTTTTTCTTGCTTTATACAAACGCAAATGCATAAAAGGTGAGAGGGAGCAATCGAGAGTTTGAGGAAAAGAGGTGACTGACAAACAGTTTGACACACGATGCAATTAAATTAAAATGTGGTTATAACATTTAATTTGATTTATTAATTTGTCATTATATATAATTTTTCCGTTAATTATTGATTAATTAGTTTGTATCTTTACCTCATTAATTCGCTTAACTATAATAAATTTAAATAATGTAGAAAATACATTTGGTGCGAATAAGTATTATAGAGCTGACCATTCAAAGGCGTTTATAGTATAATCTTATAACTTAAAAAGTATATAAACGACTCAGTCATTTCTATTACATTAACATTATATTTGGGAGAAGTTTAGTTTATCCTCATCTTGGTCACAATCCATCATAGTGCTCGATAGATGGCTAAAAGGGGAAATTCATATAAATATCATAAAATAAAATTTTATTCGATTGACAAAAATTTAGTAACTTTTCCAAAAAATGAAAAAAGTTGGACACAACTAAAATTTTGTTAAGAAGTTACTCACTACAGCCTTTGTAACACTGAAGACCATATATTTTTCCTTAGATACATCATTTCCATTATTACCAATCTTGAAAATATTTTTTTTTTGGATATACTAAAGACACTACTATATAGCTCAGACTAAATTCGAATTTCGCACAGAAAGACTTTTTGTTATGTAGCATTTTCGATTGAATTTTTTTCATATCGAGATATCAAATTCGAAATCTTTACTTAAGGGTGA